TTTGGTTTTTTGTTTAATTATTATTATTATTATCATTAATATTATTTTTTGCCCGTCTGGCTTTTCCCCCCCTCCCACCCTGGGGAGCTTGTGGTGGTGTTGAGGAAGCCGGCGCGCTCCCAAGAGATGGGATTATTTGCACAACGTCTGTATATTGAGTTCTTGATCCTGTTTTGGGGTTATTTTTGAAGTGCAGAGGGGTTATTGGGGTCTTTTTGTTTCCCCCCCACCCTCCACGCCACGCTTTCTCTTGGGTTTTTTGCCCCCACCACCATCAGCATCACCTCACCCTCCTCCTGTCCCACCATGGCTCGGATGAACCGCCCTGCGCCGGTGGAGGTCTGCTACAAAAACATGAGGTTCCTCATCACACACAACCCCACCAATGCCACGCTCAACACCTTCTTGGAGGTAAGGAGAGGAGGATGGAAGTGGGGGACTGGGGCCCAGCTATGTCTGGGGCTAAAAGCCGATGTTGACATGCAACAGGGATCAGTCCTGTGTAGGATGAGGCAGCAGCACATCCCCTTTGGTACCAGAGCCTCTAGTGGCATCCCAGGGCTGTGGGTCCAATCAATGCTGGCTTTTTGGGGTAGGATGGTTTGGAGGACCCCAACCACAGTGTTTGGGCACGGCATAGGTGGAGCAGTTTCTCCATTCCTGTTGCATCCCCTGCCAGCTCCACCAGCACATCACATCAAGGGGCTTTGCCATGATGCTTAAGGATGCACACAACCTCCCCTGCATCTCCCAGCACCTCAATAAGGACTTCTCACCCCAAATACCTCAGTGTCTTTCAATGCCCAGAGGGTCTTGAGTGGTTCAGAAGGAGCTGGAGGGCTCAATGCTGCATGAGTCAGTGATGGCGCCCTGCCTGGGAGCGCTGCCTCTGGCACTGGCAGCACCTGGGAGTTGGGGGGGATTAATGGACACGTATGTCTGTGGTCCAGGTCAAAAGGCTTCAACTTGCTTTTCTTATCAATACCTGGAGGAAACACCATGTTCTGCAGGCTCAGCCAAGCCAGCACAAGCAGCTTCTGCTCATGAGGAGCATTTTGGAATGCTGTGTATTCCCGGGCGGACCTGGGGCTGCACATGAGCCTGGTGAAGGATTTTTGCCTTAGACCTAGAACACTGAGGTCCGATGTTTTGGCACCAGTGACAGAATACTGAGTTCAAGGAAACTCCCCCAGTGCTCACCCAAAACCCTACATGTGAGCACCACCAGCACAGAAATCTGCAAGAAGATGATTGCATTCTGGGGACAGCCACCATGTACCCTGCACACCGTGCACAAGGCAATGGGGACAACACCAGTGGGAATGGGGAGAAATTCCCTTTCCTCCCATTGCCTGTTGGAGTTTCGGCTGAGCTGCCAAGCATGTGGGGCTTTGTCTGGCAAATGCATGTGGGGAATGAAGGAGATGGATCACTGAAGGGGATGATCTCACATGTGCCTGGCAAGGCCGGTGTGCCGGCACGTAATCCAGGGGCAATCCTCGCAGCGGGTGAGAAGCCAGGCTGGAAACAGCCCAAATCCCACGCCCCAGCCTGCAGCGTGTTGGAATGATGATGGGATATGGCAGCGAGGTCGAGAAGGAGCCCTGAGCACTCTGCAAGATGCTGAGTGTGGTTGGTGGGACATGCTGTAACTCCCCCAGCCACCTCCATGCGTTTCTGCAGCAGGAGTTGCCATCTCCCTTGGCACAAATGCTTTCTCTTTTGGGGGGCTTGAGCACATATCAAGGGTGTTTCTTTGCCTGCAGTGTAAAGTCCTTGCTGGTGTGGCTGTCAGGGCTTAAAAATAGATGGCCTTGTTGGCACTCATGATTCCAATGAGCTGTGAAGCTGCTGGGTAAAACTCCTACATGGATTTGGTACCCTGAGATTTCGTGTTTCCTTGTGTTTCCCAGGCTGGATGGACCACGGAGGGCTTTGCTTAGTGTCCAGAGATGGGGTGCAGTGCTGTTTTCTTAGGGACTATAGTGGTCCCATGGTGCTAGCAGGACTTGGACATGTTGGGGTTAACTGGGGTGCAGTTGGCAGGGGGTTTTCAGGCCCCTCTTTCTCCTTCCCTCCCCAGGACCTGAAGAAGTACGGTGCCACCACGGTTGTGCGAGTGTGCGAAGTGACCTATGACAAGACCCCCCTGGAGAAGGACGGCATCACTGTCATGGTAGGTGGGCAGCAGGATGGGTGCAGGGTGGGTTGCTTAAATCCCCCCCATCCCTCATGGCTGCTGACACCCTGCGTGTCACACAGCAGCATCGCGCTTGCCCAGGAGGAGGGTTTGAAGCCCAAATTCATCCTCAGGGCAAAGCAGATGAGCTCTGAGATGGGGCTGGTGCTATAGAAAAAGAAAGAGCTGCCCACACACCGAAACTGTGACTCATGTGGTTGAGTCGGCAGCTGCCTCCCCTGCCTGTTGCTCGGGCTTTGAAGCATCCAGGGGGTGAGAGCGCCTGATCCCACGTGGAAGCTGCGCATGGTTCCTGTTACCCGCAGCGTTGTCTTGCCCAGGGTGGGATGTGGGGGCTTTCTGCTCTTCCAGCAGCCGGCTGGTGCAGCTCAGGGGGGTGCAAGGCAGCAGGCAGGGAAAGGCAAAGAGGCAGAGCAGGCAGCTGCCTGGGCTGCATCTCGGCTGATAAGTAATTGGAGGTGATGTCAGGCCTGATTGCCCTGCCAAGGAGTTCAGCTCCAGCTGGAAAGGGAGCCTTTGCTCATTTAGGGAAGGGTTTGGAAGTGCCTCGTGTCTCCTGGGGTGGTCCTCTGTGCGTAGGCCCTCTCTATATAGCTCTCTCTGTATAATGTATATCCCACAGAGATAGCTAGCTATATGCTAGATCCTTTGGGATATAGATAGTAGATCCTATGTCTCTCTAGATACAGTTCCTCCAGATGCATAACTCTCTAGATATAAATGCTATGTCCCTATAGGATATATCTTATAGATACCCTCTATAGGATATCTGTCTTACAGAGAAAGATAGCTGTATCCTACATATAGAATCTGTATGTAGGATCTCTGATCTGCTTACTTACACACCAGATTCTGCCTTTTACCCTGGAGTCCTTCAGTCTCAGTTTCTCTATCTAGGATATACATACCTCTCTAAATACCTAGAGAGAGAGAGATCTATATCTAGAATATTTTTTAGATAGGGAGATGTCAATATCCTAGATACAGAAACTGTATAAGACACTATGGAAACTATATAGCTTCTATATGTATTTCTGTAACTATACAGAAACTGTATGAGTTATATAGAGAGATATTTATATCCTATATAGAATCATAGAATCATAGAATGGTTTGGGTTGGAAAGGACCTTAAGATCATCTAGTTCCAATCACCCCCCTGCCATGGGCAGGGACACCACACACTAAACTATGTCGCCCAAGGCTCTGTCCAACCTGGCCTTGAACACCTCCAGGGTTGGAGCATTCACAACTTCCTTGGGCAACCCATTCCAGTGCCTCACCACCCTCACTGTGAAGAACTTATATCTAACCTAAAGTTCCCCTGTTTAAGTTTAAAGCCATATGTCTATGGATAGGTGTGCCTATGCAGATAGGTATCTCTACATACACCTATATCAAATATATAGACTATATCTATATATTCTACCACTTTCTTTGGGGAACAGGCACAAGTAAGTCAAGGCCTGACTCTGGTGTGGTGTGCTTGGGTGCCAGCATCCACAGCCACGGTGCCCACACATACAGTGGTCCCATCCTGGGCATGCTTCATGGGTGTTTTGGATGCCTCGTGCTTTTGGCTCCTCTGTGTGCTGCAGGGGATCCCAAGCAATCTCTAAAGCTGATGGCAGTTGCCAAGTTGTGCCAGATGCAGGTGCCCCATGCCATGAACATGGGAGCTCTTCCAGCAGGCTGGAGATGGGGCAGAAAGCCTGCAGGAGAACCAATGCTGTGTGGGTTTCACTGCTGGAAGGCTCGTGGTGCAGGATGGATATACCAGTAGTGTTTAATATCTTCATCAGTAACACAGAGAGTGGGATTGAGTGCACCCTCAGCAGGTTTGCAGATGACACCAAGCTGAGTGGTGATAACCCCAGAGGGAAGGGATGCCATGCAGAGGAACCTTGAGTGGGCCCATGTGAACCTTATGAAGTTCAATAAGACCAAGTGCAAGGTTCTACACCTGGGCTGGGCCAGTCCCCAGTATCAGTGGAGATTGGATGATACATGGAGAGCAGCCCTGCAGAGAAGGATTTGGGGGTACTGATGCATGAAGGATGGGATGTGAGCCAGCCCAGAAAGCCGACTGTATCCAGAGCTGCATTGAAAGGAGTGTGACCAGCAGGTTGAGGGAGGTGATTCTCCCCCTCTACTACTCCACCTGAAGTACTGCATCCAGCTCTGGGGTCCTCAGTGCAGGAAGGAGATGGACCTGTCGTAGCAGGTCCAGAGGACAAAACTGATCAGGGGGCTGGAGCACCTCTCCTGTAAGGAAAGGCTGAGAGAGTTGGGGTTGTTCAGCCTGGAGATGAGAAGGTTCTGGAGAGTCTTAATTGCAGCCTTTTAGTATAGAAAGAGGGCTCACAGGAAAGATGGAGAAGGACTTCTTACCAGGGCCTGTAGTAACAGGACAAGGGGGAATGGTTTTGAACCAAAAGAGGGTAGGTTTAGATGGGATATAAAGAAGAAACTTGTTATGAAGAGAGTGCTGAGGCGCTGGCACAGGGTGCCCAGAGAAGCTGTGGCTGCCCCATCCCTGGCAGTGTTCAAGTCCAGGTTGGACACAGGGGCTTGGAGCAACCTGCTCTAGTGGAAGGTGTCCCTGCCCAGGGCAGGGGTTGGAACTGGCTGAGCTTTAAGGTCTGTTCCAACACAAATCATTCTGTGATGTGATAGTCTGCGGTGTCAGTGTCATCCCTGCTGCGAGCCCGGTGACCTGCACTCACGGCTGAAGCAGTACTTTGTGGGCACTGTGGGGAGGAGATGTTCTTGCAGGACAGGCAACAGGCTGTGCAGGGTGAGCTGGCTCAAGCATTAGGACACCCTGATGCCCAGCGTGCTCCTTTCCTAGCAAAGCCCAACTGCAATCACGTTACCTGTTCAAACACTTAAGTAAAGCAGCTTCTTTTGCCATCTGACCCTCCGGGATGACTGCAGCTTAGTGACTCACTGCTCAAACACCAGGATTATGGCCCGTGCTTCCCTCCCAGTGGGGCTCAGCAAACCACATCCCTTCCAAGCGATGCTGTGTCCCTCTTTCCCACTGCGGCATAACCAGTCGCAACGTTCCTCCTTCCAGATCCATTTTGGAGACAAATCTACATTTTGGGAGAGATGTGCAGCCTCGACTGGCTGCCAGTGCCCATGGGGAGAGACCCGAAAATGCTGCAGCAGTCACTGCAATGGGGAGAACCCTTTCCCCCATAGCAGAGCCGAAGTCTGGGGATGCTTAATGCAGCACCCATTTTACCCACATTATCATAGATGTTGAGTCCATATAGCTTGAGGATGGAGCTCAGAAGAAGATGGGCTTTATTTTCGTCCCTTAAGAGCCTTTCCTGAAGGATGCTGTTTAAATGGCCCTATTTGGAGGGGTCTTTCTTCATCTCTCTATAGCACTGTGTTGGGGGGTCCCCAGAGCATCCTTTCAGGACCTGTTTGTTCACTGCCCCTTGCATGTATTGCAGCAAGCTGAATTTCAGCACTGTCAGGCCCTGAGATTCCAACCATCTCCAAGCCACCTTTGCTCAAATATTCCTACAAGTGGGTTTAGCCAGGAGCTGGAAGCGGGGAGGATGAGAGTTGCATTGTCCCGAAGCTCAGTGTGGTTATCCAAAAGGGGAGGAGGCAGACCATGGCCACCATGGTCTGTATAGGCAGGAGGGCATGGGGACCATATCGCAGATCCTGTAGGGGCTCCTGAACACTGAACCTGTCCATAGGAAATAGGAGGACCCCAGACCTAGATTCATGTAGCTGCAAATCCTGAGTTGCCGCGGTCCTGAACACCATCACCCCGAGTAAAGAGCCATCCCCTGAGTTTTTCTCCAAGGTCTTAAGAGTGTTTCTTTGTTCCCTGACCTTCCCCCCTTCCTGCAGGATTGGCCATTTGACGATGGAGCGCCTCCTCCCAGCAAGATAGTGGAAGATTGGCTCAACTTGTTGAAGACCAAGTTCTGCGAAGACCCCGGCTGCTGCGTGGCCGTGCACTGCGTGGCCGGCCTGGGGCGGTAAGTCAGAGCCCAACACCCCATATTGCACCCTCCCCGTGAGGGGAGGAGAGGAAAACCATGCCCACTCTCCTTCCCTTCCCTAGTCCCCCTCTGAGCAGGGTATTTGCATGCAGTAAAACCTTAGTGGGAATAGGTGTTGATGGCAGGGTCTGCTGCCTGAGCTTCTCCTTGCACTTCCTATGGCCAGCTCCTGGGCACTGGTGTGGAGCTGGGTGTCTTGGTGCTGTCCTGCCAGTGCCCTGTGGCTGTTCTCCTTTTGCTAAGAGCTCATCATGGAAATACTTGCAAAATGCCTCTTGCTACAACAGGGAACTGATGCTTTGTGAGAGATGCTGCATTATGCTGCTCCCCCTGCCATAAGTCAGGTTTTGCATGTGTATTTGCATCCATATTTCCAATAGATTTGCCTCCAAAATCCTCGTGCTCACTAGACAAGGAGCAAGCGCTGCCCTGTCCCAGGTTTTACCCCAAAATGCATATTGGGCCAGTGCTTGCAGCCAAATGGCAAGAAATGATGGACTAAAAGCCACCACTGGCAACTGCCCACAGTGCCAACGTTAGAGCCCCATGGTGTGTCCCCCTGCGCCGGGTGGGATGTCACCCTCTGTGCTGCGTGGCTGGAGAGTGACCACCACTGCCATTGCCTTTCAGTGCTCCTGTCCTCGTCGCACTGGCCTTGATCGAGAGTGGGATGAAATATGAAGATGCCATCCAGTTCATCCGACAGTAAGTCAAGCGGTGTCATGGTGTCAGGGGAGAAAGCAGACCCTGTCCAAGGCAATGGAGATGTCTGTCATGTCCCAGGGGTTTTTCAGGGTGCTGGGGTTGCTTTTCATAGAATCAACCAGTTTGGAAAAGACCTTTAAGATCGTCAAGTCCAATTTTTTCCCCAGCATTGCCAGGGCCACCACTAACCCACGGCACTGAGAGCCCCAGCTACATGGTTTGTGAACACCTCCAGGGATGGTGACTCCAGCACTGCCCTGGGCAGCCTGTTCCA